TTCAGATTTAAACCGTTCTACAACTCCGGATTTTAAGGTATAATTGCACCGGGATATCGACCAGTCCACGGGTTTACTAGTCCATCGGCTAGGTCGGTCCAGGTTTGAAACCAGTAATGCCTTGTTTTGAGTATTTTTGCAGATGAACTGCTTTGAAAGTTCCAATCATATTGAGGTAATTTTGAAACCAACCAAACTAGATTGGGGCTTGAGACACTGTAACTTGATCATAACTTGAAATGAATCAAAAGTTTTGGCGCAACATAGTCACAACATTGATTATAAATTAGCACAACAAACAGTCTGTAAATGTTTTTTTTGTCTTTCAAAGAAGAGCAGATTTGAGAGACTTGGTGAGACTCTCGAGCTCCTTAAGCCCTTCTGTTGGCGACTTCGCATCTCCCAAAAGCTTCACCATTGCGCTGCCTACGATTACTCCATCAGCTCCCCATCCAGCAATCTGTATATCACAACAAAAACCAGTCATTAAAGAAGCAACAAGAAGACAACAAAAGAGGCCTTATGAGGCTTTGTAAGGTTTAGCACCTGTTTCACATGCTCGGGCTTTGATATTCCGAAACCAACCGCCACTGGCTTGTCTGTTGCCTGCATTGAATTACAAATGGCAAAACAGCTTGAGCATTTCTACATGATTACAAGATAATGAAGAAACAAAAGCAGGCTGTTATTATACCTCTTTGATATCCTTCAAGAGCGACTGAACCTTTCCGCTTACAGATGCTCGTGCACCGGTCACTCCGATTGAGCTCACCTTTCAAACCGAATAGCAAGGGCCAATACGTTTTCAAATACAAAAAAAGAAGTATGCACATCTGCAGAGAGAAAGATACACGGAAAGGTTTCTTACAAGGTAAATAAATCCTTCTGATACTTCAACAATTCGCTTCATTCGCTCTGTTGGTGTGGTTGGTGTAGTGAGTAGGACCTTGATTACAAACATGAAGCACTTTTATGTTACTAAAGGAAACTGAATGTCAAAATAGAAAGAGCCCGATCCAGCAAACACACAGTTTCAGTGGCTCTGCTAGACAATGCTTCTACTATTTCTATCAGCTAGAATCTTCAGACAGGCTAATGATAAGGAGCTCAAGTAAGAAAAATCCCAAATTGAGGAGAAGAAAAAAAGGATCTGATCCAGAATATATTGATACAAATGAGTTTCAACGGATCCCTTATGATATGCTGCTATTGACAAGACCGAGAATCGTGATACTCGAAAATTGAAATTTTGAGATAAATATGCATCCTTTAAAAGCATATATATGCTTACCAGTTCAATGCTGTTGTTGAGGGCTTCTTTTCTTAGAAACTCAGTTTCCTCAAGAGGAACATCGGGAACCACAAGTCCCTGTACACCGACATCTCTGATGCTGGACATGAACTTCCCCAACCCACGTTTAAGAATCGGGTTGTAATATGTGAACAATGAAATTGGACAAGATAATTGCGGAACAACCTGCACCATGTCCAACCATAAGCATACATATACACGATCAGAACACATATTGACACAAACACATCCTTGCTTTCAAAAACCAAACTCACCTTATCTAACATCTCAAGGATACTATCGAGGTTGGTCCCCCTCTCCAACGACCTTGTCGCTGCAGCCTATTGT